TTCCCCATTTCTGTCTCTGTATTGTATAGACTGTATAGACTTGTACTGTACTGTTATGGTAGGGATTTGGTCCCTAACCTGAATGTTTGTATATGTATGTATATATTGTTTGGTTCTGAATGTGAATATGTATGAAAGTCTTTTTGCATACTGACTGTCACAGCTCATTGGACATTTTTTATTACTGTTTTGGCTTCCGCCAGCCCCTGTACTCTGTATTACTGTCTTTATTGTTAAGCAGGCCTTCGGTAATCAAGGATTATTGGCCGGTTATGCTAAACCCATAGGGGCGGGTTTGGGTCGTGACAATTGTTAAGAAATTTCTACTGGGCCTTGTGCTCACCCCTATGGAATTTTGGTGCAGGAAAGGACGTGGTGATTCTGCCAAATTGAGGTGTGGACATAATTGTTGAGAGCATATGGCTCATCTTTTATTATGATGCATTTTTGCTAGCCAAGGGCTATAGTTGTATGGGTCCAAGAGATCATTTTTGTGCAACCGGGCTTAAGCCTTGGAATTTGTAAGCCTTGGAATTTGTAAGCCCTTGAGGGCATTTATTCATTTTGTTGGATTTGATGTTCTACATGCTATAGATTCATGTATTTGGTATCATTGAATGTATAATTTGCATGTGGAATTGTTCTGTACAAACCTTATGATCAATGAAGTAAAGGTTGATGTATTATATCTTTTCTTGTAATGAATGTGGGTTAATGTTATAATTTTCGGGGCGTTACAATTTCCATCTCCAACATCATTTCTATCTCCACCATCTTCCATTCCAATAGAATATGCAATATCTATATATAAGTTAATTGTTTTACTCCTACCTTACACATAAAACATATCCAACACATCAAGATCATTTTCTATTAATCTCTTATTCTCAGTATCAAGCATATCGCAATGCAATGTGATAGATGTTGCTTCACCACAAGCAATGTGAGAGAGGACTGTTGTAGTCACATCCTTCAAGGCATAAATGTAACAATACATATTTGGGTCCGCATTATATACTCTGCCCACTTTGCCTTTATAGTTGATGATTAAATCAAAATATGTGAATGCAACCATACTGTAATCATAATGAGAAACAATTAATTATAAATAAAGTAAAAAAAACTCCATTCAACAATTGCTCATCCAAATGTAACAAAATTTAAAAATAAAAATAAAAATAAAAAAATTAATTAATTAATTAATTAAATTAAATTAAGAAGAAAACTATTTTTGACAGTAGATTAACAACATCAAATCCCCAAATTCATAACAAACATAAATAAAAGATCACACAATACAATCATAATTGCATAAAAAAAAAGAATAAAAAAAATTCCCAAATCATTATTTCTAAGAAAAACAAGCAGAAAATTATTTCTGATAGTAAATTAACAAAACCCCAAATTTTACAAATCAACCAAACCCATACAATCATAAATTCATAACAACAACAATAAAAAATCCCTAAATCAGTATTTCTAAGAAATAAATGAAGAATTAGTATTTCTAAGAAATAAATGAAGAAACCTATTTCTGACATGAAATTAACAAAATCCCAAAATTTACAAATAAAACAAGCCCATACAATCATAATTTCATAAGGAAAATAATTAAAAATCCCTAAATCAGTTTTTTTAAGAAAAATAAGAACAAAACTATTTCTTATAGTAAATTAATAAAAACTCCCAAATTTTGCAAATAAACCAAACCCATTCAATCATAATTTCACATGAAAAAGAAGAAAATAACCCTAAAATAAAAAATCATAACAAAAAGAAGACAAAAAAAAAACCCCTAAATTAGTATTTCTGACACAAAATTAACAAAATTCCTAATTTCTAGTAACAAATTTTGCAAAAAATATAAAAGTCCTAAATGTATATTTTCGAATGAAACCCTTTTTACATACATCTCATCAATCAAACCTATACCGTCAGAAATTATGTATAAAAAGAAGGGAAAAAATCAGAAATTCCATATAAAAAGAAGAAGAAAAGAAAAAAAACCAAATCATAAACCATGGACTCAAGTTTCTCATATTCGAAGTATAAAGGTTTCAAATCTTACTTGGAAGCCCTAAAAATAACTTTTCACCGATTGATCTCTTTTACATTTTGTACTGGCAACGATGATCGAACCAAAATGTCAAGCTTCTTCGTCATTTCTTCACACCGATCGGTCTTCTTCAAAGATTTCATCTCTCTCTCTGTCTCTCTCCCCCACAAATTTGATCGTCAATCATAATAGGTACTGAATTAGGGATTTCGAGTACAAAGAGTATTATCGTCTTTTCGTGCTCCAAAGTAAAGGTAATAAGGTCATTTAGTATTTGCAAGTAACATTGTTTTGTACCAATTTGATGGAATGGGGGAATCTTGACAATTTCAATTAAAATATGAGAGGTTTGTGTAATTATTCAAACCATAAGGGAAGTCTCTATATTTGTTAGAAACCTGAGGAGAGGTGAGTGTAATTTACCCTAAAAACGAAGGGTTAATTATGTGGGTGTTTGGGAAGTTGCTATTTTAGTAGGCTATTTTAGTTTTTGGCTATTTTAGTAGGTTAAAATTTTTGTATTTGGGAAGATAATTGAATTTTTTTGTAGTTAGATGTGATATTGGTGAGAGAAAAATTGAAATAATTATGGATTTAATGTGACATTTTGTCTTATTAGTTATTTTATGCTATTTTGTCTTTTTGTAGATTTTAGCCAAAAAAAATGCTAAAATCCAACTTGGCAAACACCTTTTGGGAGATTTAGAGAAAGATTTGGAAATGGAAAGGGAAAGGGAAAAAAAAATATAAATCTAGATAAAATATAAACATATTTCATTCATATTTTACCTATTTTTTCTATTTCTCTTTCCAAATCTCTTCTCAAATCCTCTAGTTAAACACTATCTTAAAATGAAATTGCAAATAGATGAGACAGTTACTAAATAATTGTACTATAAATGATTTTTTTTTTTTTGTTTTTTTTTTTGTGAGACTCTTACACATAAGAAGAGTTACACCAAGCACATGAATGAATATGGACCATGCACACAAGAGATTTGCACCATGAAATGCAATTTTTTTCTAAACCCTTGTAATTAGACCTAAATTTTACTTTGGTGCCTATTATTTTAAATTGAATAGGTTGGTTCTTATGCTTTAAATCTAGTTCAGTTTGGTCATTTCATTTAAGTTGAAGATTAAAATAAGCAATTTTGAAATTATTAGTTTTCTAAAGTGTCCATGTAGGAAAAATTAAGGAATTTTTTTCACAAAAGAACCAAATTAAAATTGGACTTAAAATATAGTGACTAAATTATTCAAATTAAAATTACAGAAACTAAAATAAAATTTAAGTCAAATTATAAAAATGAAAAATATAATTAATCCTAAAAAGAAAGTCAAATATCTGTTATACTTGAAAATGGTGATATCCCGTCACGTGATAATCATACACATAAATAGTACACATGAATAGGGAATTTTTTATTCAAATATAATTATAATTAGTCATTTTAAAATAAATTATGTAATTACAACACTAAATAGGGTTTTTAATGATTAATAACAAGTTTGTATTGAATTTTTTTCCCTTGATTTGTGCCATGTGAGAAAAATTACAGAAATTTAAAAGTAATTACGAGTCTGTGTGATTTTTTTAGACTAAAATGCACAACTATTTTTTGTTGAATCATACTTATAAAAACTTTAATATGATCAACTTCTCTTATTCACTGTTGATCAACCAATTTGAAATTCTTATAAATTTTCAAAAAGTTACATTAAATTTTTACATAATTTGTTTAAAATCAATATCACTTCTAAACTTGTAAAGAATTAAGTTACATGTAATTCTCTAATTTTGCTCTAAATTGTAAATTGTCAAATTTATTCAAAACTCAAACTCACTTGTGGCTTCACCATCAATGTGTAATCTTAATTAATCGATATCAAAAATCAAAGTAATTAACATATTTTTTTATATATGGGGCATTAGATTAACATAATTTAAACATTGAAAATTAAATTGAAACATTTATATATTGAGAATTAAATTGACACAATTTAAACATTAACATTAAAATAACATAAGACTCATACTTGGGAGACTAAAAATATAATTATCTCATAATAAAATGTTTCACTCCCAATACAAACTAAACGAGTACAATTAATTTGGACAAAATTCATAATCATTGTGTTTGGTTTGAGTTTTCTAAATTAAGTTTTTTGAAAATTGAGTTTTTTTTATTTTCGTATTCTTTTGTTTTTAGTGAATATTTTTTAAATTTTAAACATTTTTTTTACTTTTTTAGATGCACCTTAGTTTGATGTATTAAAAAGTAAAAAATTTGTGAAAAAATATTTTTAAAAATTAATAAATACATAAAAATACAAAAAATGTACTGAATTCTTGTATTTTTTTTATATTTTTGGCATTTAGTGAATTTTTAAAAGATTTTTTTTACAATTTTTTTACTTTTTAGGTGTATTTATGTTAGGTGTGTTTAAAAAGTAAAAAAATTACTTAAAATATTAAAAAAATTCAGTAAAAACAAAAAACACGGAAAATAAGAAAGTAAAATTTTCTGAAAAGTGTTCTATGAAAAATGAAAACAAACAAGCCGAATAGTACTTTCTAATCTAAAAATTACAAGAAATTATGCGTTTATCTTCAAATGGCTAGGAAGTTATCTAGGCATGATCCAAATCTAGGAAATAAAGTAAAATTAGCCTTAAAAATATACATCAAAAAAAGGGCAAATTAAGAGAAGAATTTTGGTGAGATAATGCCACTTGATAAAGTAGTAAAAATAATACAATGAGACAGTATGCTCAAAAAAATAAAAAATAAAAAATAAAATGAGTCATTGGACCTGGGTTGGATAAATAAATAAATAAGCTTGACATTTTTAAAACAAAAGAACATGGTCACCATAACGGTTTGTTTTGGGTGCCTCTGTAGATTATACAAGACATTTATTAAAAGAAAATAAAAGTTGCATTTGGAAGAGTGGACTTGGATATACTGAAGATTTTCATAGATTTGAAACACTAAAACTCGTGTTTGAATCTTAAATTTATAAAAGAAAAAGAAAAGAAGAGGAAGAAATAAAGTGAATGAAACCATGCAAAGCCTTCCCACACATGCATTCCACCAAGACAGGATGCAAAATTGTGGAGCAAATGAAGCATTACATTTACAGCATTATTTACACTGTTTAGTCCTGAAATTTTCTGAATCAATGAGCTTCACAATAAGTGTCTCTAACCTTTTTGAACTCACAGAAGGTTTAACCACATGTGGACTCCCGTGAAGTACACAATGATCCTTCTCTACACCCCAATATTTCGCACACCAAGCCCCGGGTGTAAACCGCCCATCCGGTCTCCTTAAAAGTTCCTTGTCAATTTTGTCCAGAACAGGATCGTCCTTTTCAAACTTACGCGCAAAAGGGGCACCACTCTGGACCATGTCATTGAAATGCTCCAACGTCAGATTCATTGGGTGTAGCTGCGGAGGATTGTCCCACCTGATATAATGCAAGTCATGGTTTACTGTGGTGTTCTGGAAGTCTTTATGGTTGCAGACAATTGTGTGGAAGTAGCCTTCCGGTGATGAAAGGATATTCGTGTAGTACATGAGAAGAGTGCGCGGAAGATTATCCCAACCCCAAACGCAGAATTCAAGAAATGGTCTTGTAAGCACCACCCATGAAGACCCTGCAGATGGGAAAAATTGGAGTTTAATTAAGGAAGAAAATATGTGCTGAAAATAGGAACAATAAATCAATAGTTTACTTAATTCTAGACAAAGTAATCAAGCAAGAAGCTTGGAAACATGGCTCCATTCTGAGAACAAACACAGACACGAGACATGACACGAACACACATGAAAATTTTCAAAAATATGTAGGACACAATACGGGGAGGACGACATGTGTAAAATATATGATGGGCATATATAAAGATAAACAATTATTATATGTAACATAAATAAATATTTAATTTAAAGATAATAATTTTTAAAGCCTAAAGAAGGAGAATAAATACAAATTAACATTAATTTCCTTTTATCATTAGATTTTAAATTATTTTATTCAAACTTCTTATGTGTTTAATGTGTTTAAGTGATATACACGTATTTTCCTAAGTGTCTACAGTGTGTCTGCATTTAGAAATATTTTAAAAATATAACATATTTGGCTGTGTCTGATAGGTGTTGAGAAGTGTCCAACTAGAGTCAGCATCCAACAACAGTATTTGACACAACACGCTACCTTCTTAGAAGTGTTGGTATCCAACACAACAACACACCACATTCTTAGAAGTGTCGGTGTTTCTTAGGCTCCATTGTAAAATTTGTCAGAAAGCATCACCTACACCATCCCCATCATCTCGATATCAATTTCCTGCTCTAAATTCAAATCTTCGAGGAATGAAAGTTTAGAACTCTGCCAGCTAGCTTAGTTGTAAAGTCTCTCGATGGTTGTAACAAAGAGCTGGGGTATAGTTCCACCATCATTTGCATTGAGAGGTTTATGGTCGAGGGGAGGGCTACCACTAATTGTGACCAAACTAGAAAACATGCAGATTTCCATAACATAATAAGAAATGTGCCAAGATGTTTATGGTGGTAGTACTGAAAACATTTTATTTTATGCCTCAAACAGACCACACATAACAACCCAACATAACCTAACCAAAGTAAGGCCAATGGATCCATGTCTACCAAATTTTGACATTACCAAATCACATTTGACCACTAAAACCAAATAAAACATAAATAAACTTGTCTGGCTTTATGCTAAATTGCAAATTAATATAAAATTTAAACTCAAACCAAACTTCATTAGAACATGCACTAAATATGCTCGATGCAAAATTTCAGTTGTGTTTTTCCCATTCACATGCTTTTTGTCGTCAAGTTATGCCTATATGAACCAAAGAGGTCAAATATCAATCCTAAATTTCAAAAAGCAACACACAAACAGGTGGTTGTTTATCATAATTGAGGACTACAGGATCTGATTAAAAATGTATCACTATAATACTGCAGAAGTACAGAAAATCAATTCCCACTAACTTATTCCTCTAACATCTATTAGTTTATGACACCGCATAAGTATGAAAACGTCAGCATCCCTGATTCTAAGGTGAAAAACTGAACACAGATGAACAGGTACTTGAGTTATCCGCATGGACAACAGAATAGTGATACAAGGCAAAAGTTAAGAATATACCCATGAATAACTTGAATGAAGAAGGCATAGATCTTTTCTCTTTGGCCCAAAATACACCAGATTTCTGTGAATGGTACAAGCCTGGATCTATAATGATAGGCCTTGCTCTTTGAATCCTGCAAATATACACTCAGAATGTTACTCCATATTAATAGCATCTACATAAGCAGAATAGCATGTAAAGAAACCATAACCACCCGATGAAATACTCCATACAGACAAGTTTAGAGACTTAGAAATATCTTTCATGCTCACATTCTTTCCAACCAATATTACTTGTGTGCTCGAGGAAGTTCAGATCCCTGGGCAAGTATGAGAATATGTGGAGGAGATCTGGGACAAAAGAAGAGCATATATATAAAGACCACAAGACCAACATCAGACAGTGAAGTAAGACAACATAAATTTTGATAAAGAGCAAACAATGCCAGATATTGCGCCAAATTGCTTCACAAATTAAGAATTAGGTCAAATTTCGAAAAATAATTGAAAATGTCATTACCAGTAAGATTGGGCATGTTATGATTGGACTACATTGACTAATTTATAAGAGTTCGAGAGCTCAAATAGAAGAGTTGCAAATTCGAGGATCACTGAAATTTGAAGCAAAGTTTGAGGACAAAATGATACTTCAATCTAAAACTGATATGCAACAACCCACTCTATTACAAACCCAAGAAGAGACAATTCCCTGCCTGGCAAGACTCCACTCAAAAGTAGGAATGTCTGTAACTGCTAATAGAAAAATTAGCACCCTATCTCATAGTATCAGATCAAGAGATACCTATTCAATTTTGTAAGTGACAAACACTTAAAGTAAGTACATTAGTTGAGCACCATAACTATAAGCAATCAATCCACATATGCCCTTGATTACACCCCAAAAAAACCATTAAAATAGCAGAAGTCAAAGCATCTAAAATCTTTGGTGTTATGATATTGTTTAATCCATACAAGGAAAAAGACATTAATTTTTTTTTTTTTTTTTTTTTTGAATTGAACGACATGATAGGGGGGGATAAATACAAGGAAAAAGACATTATAATTACCAGATGCATCTCTACATATGGCTGCAATTGGTAATAGTGAGTTCTTTATAAGAATGCTAAAAAAGACTCTATCCTAAGACCATTGACAATGCAACAAATATTAGCAAGACTGTAAAACACCATGATTCTCCTCTTATTTCCTTGCCAACCACTAGATCCTGGTTTTTGTGGATCAAATAGAGTTGATGGCCTCTGAGGCAAATGTGTTCCATGAACCTCATTACATGATGAAGATGTACTTTACAGAAATCTAAGCTCATCTAATTCTTTGTTGTATATCATGAGGGGAGATTATTTTTAAATTTTAAAAATGTGATGTAGCTAATAGATCAGGTAACAAATTGGAAAATGCACTTAAAATGTGATTCACTCCAGCCAAACTCAACCCAACAAAGCCTCATTCCAGCTTCTTAGGGATTTGGGCTAGTTGTCAGTTTACACCATATTATTCTACCCACAGTTAAATCATAAACCACTATTTATTTTATCAAGCAGCCACCCCAACTCCACTAAAATTCCCAATTTTTCCACTTCAACATATCCTATACAACCCAATTATGATTGCCAGGCCACTAAAGCTCAGTTTTCTAATTTTTTTTGTAATCAGAAAGGACAGGAATAGGGAAAAGAGAAGCTACATCATCCAGAGACCAGAGGTAACACTCAAACACATTGTAAGGGAGTGCCTCGTCACAAGCCTGGGCCTCGTTTTCTAATACAATTAACATGCATATAAAAGCGCATGCCAAAAAAATCATCAAACTCTCCATAGTATGATATTTGTGTCATTTCAATCACCAATGTTTAAATTGTGTCAATTTAGTTTCAAATGTATAAAAAGTGTTTAATTTGGTCCCTAACCTAACTCCGTTAATAGACACCATTGAGGGGAACAAACTACCCGTACAGGATTTAGGATGGCACAATTATTCCCATAAAATTGACCGAGCAATTTTTGTGTTTTTGATCAACTTTTTCAATTGATCTTTGGATGGCAATAATTGGGCCTTTGTGAATGATATGGCCTAGAGACCATATGGAGGTTTGAAAAAGTTGCATCGTTTTAGGACTAAGAACTAAACCATTGTTTTTAATAATATGGTAGAATTTGTACAAATGCTTGCTATGTTGAAAAACTAAATTGGAATAAATGAGTACATCATCTATGTAGACAATTGTAAATGCAGTGTAGGAATTAAAAATATCATTCATTGTATTTTGAAATTCTGAAGGAGCATTTTTGAAGCTAAAAGGCATAACATTCCATTCATAGTAATCAAAGGGTATTGTGAAAACAGTTTTGTAGCGATCTTTTTCAATTATCTGGGGACTTGCCAGAACCTAGATTTCATATCGAATTTTGAAAAAAATCTTTGCTTCAAATAATCGATATAATAAATCTTTCTTGTTTGGAATTGGATACCGGATCCATTGTAAAACAACATTGAGGGGTTTATAATTAATAACAAGACGAGGTGTTCCTCTTTTGAGTTCGGTGTTTTTGTTAACATAGAAAGCAAGACAAGACCATGGAGATTTGCTTGGTCAGAAAATTTTTTTGTTTAAAAGATCATTGATCTCCTGTTTGCAGTGTTCCATCAATTTTTTGTCCATTTGGATGGGTCAAGCTTTAGTAGAAATGTCTTTCATTGAAATCCTTTTCATATGGTAAGTCGATCATATGTTGTTTGCGATGCCCAAAAGCATGTGGTAACTCAGAACATAAATCTTTTCCAAATAGAGTTCAAATTTTTTGAATAATAGATTTGACACGAGGTTGTTGTAATTCTTAATCTATAACTTTATAATGAGATTTCCTTTTGGAGTAAACAAATTTGTTTTTGTTTATGAATAAGATTTATTTTTAAAGTATTGATTTCATGTTCTTGAGGAGGAAATAGGAATTTGAAAACAATATCTTGATTAGTAAGAACAGTGGAAATTCCTTCATTTGTAACAGTAAATGGAGCGATCATGGTTAGAAAGGGGGTTCCTAATATGGTTAATTGAGACATGTTTTTGACTAATAGGAATTTAGTGTTTACACAAATACCGTGGTTGCAAATTTGAGTATGAAATATTTTGTAATTAATTTCCATAGATCCACTGTTGGCAGTACTTAAAGATTGATCAGTTTTTTCAAAATATTTGAAAGGTACAAGACCTTTGTAGATACAGTTGAGGTCAGCACCAGAATCAACAAGTGTCGTTGTAGTGAGTATGAAATCATATATAACGACTTTAATTTCAATGTACCATTTTTGAAATGTGATACTATTAAGAAGTAAATTGACAGAATCATTAATAACAACTAGTTTCTTTTCAGGATGTTATTGGATGATTCTTGGAGATGTGGTTCATATGAGATAGATGTATCAACAAGAAAATCATTAGCAGAGTTTTTTTCAAGAGCAAGAACTCTGGATCGTAAATTTTGAACATCAGTTTTGAGGTTGGGAATTTCATTTTGGAGGTCTCGGGTACCTTATTGACTGAGTCAAGGACATCTTTAAAATCACAAGTGTCATATTTCAATTCCTAAATAGTATTTGTGGTTGGAATATTGTATTGTTTCGAATGGGAGTATTTGAATATAGCTTCTTGTTTCTTTTCTGGATCATCAATATTGCCGATAAATTCGAGAATCATTTTTTCTTGGGCTGTAAGAACATTAATACTGAGACCATACATTTCTAAAATGGCTTTACAATAATCATTAGATGTTTGGCATGAACATTCATGAGAAGCGTCGGGATTATCATTAGGTTCTTCATCAGAAAAAGTAAGAATATCACTATCAATTTCATTAAGTAGGAATTTATTATCAAAAGGATTGTCAGAAGAGTATTCATGATTAGATTCGGGTTCTTTATCACGAAGGAGAATAGATTCTAATTGATTTTTAAATTCATCAGAAACATCAAATTTATAGATTTTCTTTTTTGTTAAACATTTATTTGTATAATGGCCTGGTTCGCCACATTTCTAACAATTTGCAGTTTTCTTAGAAGAACTAGGTTTTGATTTAGAGGCATTATAGGGTTTGGAATTATTGGAGTTATTGAATTTCCTCTTTTTGTAATTGGGTTTAGGGTTTCTTTTTGTAATTTGAAAATTTGTTATAATATTTTTTAGTAGAATATTTGCGAGTTTTGCGGATAGGGGCTCTTCGGGTAGAAGATCCTGATAAAGGAAGAAGGATGGAATTGTAACCAAATTGATAACAAAATTGACGGAGTTCAATGCGGCCGATAGTTCGTTCTTTCTTTAGTTGATTTTTAAGTTTGATATCATTGCACAAGGATAATCCTTCAGCACAAATTTCAGATATTAATTCTCCAAAACTATATTGGTTGAAGGGGATTTGTCCATCATGCTTGGTGCAGATTTGAGTTTTGACCTTTTTAGCGAAAAGTGTCGGAAGCCCGGCAATGAAACGTTTTTTCCTAGAAATCTTGATTGGCGTCATGTCTTTGATAGAGTTTGGAGAGGAATATATCTTTGTACCAACAGAAATGGATGAAAGTTGGACATCTCAAATTGATAAGGAGTTCTTTAGATCATTCAAGAATAATTTGAGTATTGCCAATGAAATGTTGAGTTTTGGCAATTACTAGAGTAGTAACATCACTAATAGGTTGGCAAGTATTTGGATAAAGGATTGGAATATCAGTTTGATCTCGTTTAACGACAGTTACAATCGCCTGTTGTTGTTCTTGGGTGAGACAATGTCCCACCAGCCTTTGAGCTGGCCGGAAAAATTGAAAATAAGCATTTGAGCAACAGTGCCATCATTATTGTTAGAGGGATGTTTAGCAAGGGTAGCATTAGCAGTCATGACCATATGCTGGCTGAGATTGAGAATTTGGTAATCAGACTTACCATCAATATTTCATTCGCATAGATCACTACAGGAAAAAAGAGTATCAAAATGGCATTCTTCTAATTGAAGGTCAATTGGGGTAGGTCATGGATAATAATTCGCATTGGTGGTTGAGCAGAAATCATTGATGTTTCTTGAATTTGGATTGGAGTATTTGATGTAAATTGTTCATATAAATTTTGTAATAATGTGTCATCTTGGAGTACATTAATTGTACCAGTATGAGTAGTTGTATCTTTGCCTTCTCTTTTTGGAATAAAAGGATTGGAGGTATCGACAATAGGATAATGGATGGGTTCATTGTCATTGAGGACTTTGGTAAGAATTTCTTTGCGTTTGTTAAGTTCGGCTAAAAATTCATCAGAGGGACTGGTAAAAGAATAGGCTGGATAAGGTAGATT